CCCCCCCCCCGCCAAAAAAAACCTACTAGAGTTCTCACAAGAATTCCATGTGCAGGGCTTCGAGCTGTTCTGCACATGAGTCCTGAGATTTTGTAATAACAGATCAGTAGCATTTTCTTCTTATAAGGACACTAGTCCTATTAGATTGGGGCCCCACCCTTATACCCTCACTTAACCTTAATTATCTCCTTAATGGCCACCTTATCTCCAAATAATCACACTGGGAGTTAGAACTTCAGTATGTGAATTTGGGGAAGGACACAATTCAGTCCACGGCACTATTATCTTGAACCCTTTAATGTCTGAAAGGCTGGATTCCCTCATCCCATTTGCTTGGGGACAAGAGAGAGTTTGAGCATTCAATAACAAGAAGTGAGGTAACGTGTGGTGTGTCCCACATATTATCTGACACAGTAAGGGTCTTGGTTGTGTTCTTCCAGAAACAGTCAGATACTGGAGGATAAGTCCATTATTTGTGAGGCAAAAGAAAACCCAGGAGACAGAAGAGAAGTGAGATGGAAAGGAGAAAACAGACAATAAAATAAAGGGTCATTTTCTAACTAATCACTACTGCAGCAACTTGAGCTTCATCTCAAGAAACTCAGACATTGGTGGGGAACCAGCACCTCTGAGTCCCCCCTCGCCCCCAGGACAAAGGAGCTAGGGGATTTATGCACCAAACTCATCAATCATTGGTTGAGATCTTCCCTGAGGAGGGTTGGTTCTCCTTACTTCCAGCTTGCTGTGCATGGATACCAAGGAAAACCTTCAGATGAAGAGATGGTGGATGTGGCTGTTGGAAGCTGGAGCAGCTCTGTAGGAGGAAGGCTTATGGGGCTCTGGTCAGGTTGCTGTCTACTACAGTGAGCTAACAGAGCACCTTAGTTGTTCTCTGTAATGGTGGACACACTATGTTTAGTAGTAGTTTTCAAAACACTAGAGATGTTGCTTGACCAAAGGATTCTGGGGCCAAATGTGTGTAAGGAATGAATACTAGATGCTTGTCCTGGAGGATTCACTGGGCTGAGGATGTAGCTCAGCAGTGCAGTGCCTGCCTGGCAAGTACAAGGTACTGAATTCGATCCCTAATAAAAAAAAAATTATTTGGGGGATTCACAACAAAAGCTCTGTGATATCCTGCAGTTGAGATGTTAAGCTTGTTTTAATCCTTAGACTTCAAAATTTATTCAGACTTTTTAACTTAATATATACCTACCTCTTTCAGAAATGCAAGTTCTGTATTACATGCTTTGGGTATTATCCTTTCAGGTGAATAGAGATGTGCCTGTAAAATAAAGTGAAAGAGTTTTCAGTCTGTTTCTGTTCAGCCCTATATCTGCAGAATGAGTGCCTAGGCTAGAGAAAGTGTTCAGTAAGTATTTATTATTACAACAGGTTTCAAGCAATCCCCCCCCACCCCGCCAAAAAAAGAAAACTGAAGATATTTTCACTAACAGTTTTATGAAAAATGACCATCTAATCTCCAAAATGCCTATTTGGAATACTTTGGGGAAAAGTTCATCTGAATGTATACTTCTTGAATGTTTTTATTCTTCACTCATTTAAATGAAATTCTGAGAAAAAATGGGAACCTTTGCCTTTAGAAGCTATTGTCCACTTTGCAGGAGAAACAAGGCTTCCTGCCCCAAGCCAATGTGTGGATGCAGATCAGACTCCTAGTGGTCCTGATGTTCCTCTGGCCTAACCTTGCTAAAGAGTGTACCAATTTCTATTTCCTCCCTCTACATTCACCCATTTGTTGAATGCTAAAGTTTGCAGCTGTGACCTGACTATAGGGTGAAATGAATTAAATTAGAGGACTTCTGACAAGTGCAGGCCCTTTAGTCTTAATGTCGGGCAGAACTTACTATTTGTTGGTCTCAAATGTCAGCTGAGGCCAGGATAAGTCCTTGTCACTCCAACTTCCTCATTCACTGATAAGACCTAAGGTTATTCTCACCCTGGTGCAATTGTTTCAGAAGCAACAAAGCATACATGACAAGTGAGGTTTGCAACAAATAGGCTTTTCTCTATAGCTCATCACTCCAGCTGGGCATCCCTGCTATTTTTGCTGAGTAGTCCTAAGAATGGCAACATCAATGACAACTCATTGCTTGTCTATCATTATTACAATGAAAAGTTTGAAACTCTAATTCTTACTCATTCTTTGGAGCTGAGATGGGTGGAAAGTATAAAACAAGTTTGTTTTGTTGCGCACTTGATTAGACACTTGTATAACCAAATGCCCATTTCCTGAGAATAATTCTTGGCATTTACAAAAGGCAGGAGTCGGTACATAGTAGCATTCTCTTTACACCCTGCAATTGGAAATGCTGGTGTTTCCAGATAGATAAGAGTGGAGAGAGTAAACTATCCAGGTTCTCATGGGTAAGTATCCCTTGCTTTTTCTTGAGCAATGACAATGTGGATTCTGAAAGGCATTGCATAACCTACTCTTAGAAAGGCTATCTCATCATTTGGGTGGTATTGTGCTTGTTAGAAGCAAGTCCCTGGGTCTATCCCATACTCAAGGGCAGGGACTTATACCATAGCATGAATTCCAGGAAGCTAGGATCACTGGACACTGTCTTATCTAGAAGCTACCCACCACAGTGATTTATGTTGTTCCCTAAGAATGAGCATGGCTTTGATTCTTTTAACCCTTTCCTGCTTTGGGAACCATGAATGGCATGCCCATCTGGACTTCAGTGCCTTGCCAAACTTCTTTTTCAAAAGGGATGAAAGAAGGAAACCAAGGGATGGGCAAATTCTGCTAAAAACAGTTTCCACTGTGAAAATGATTTAAGTTGTCATTGCATGTATCCACTGACAGTGGATTGTGAAGAGGACTCCAATTACTCCTGTCAGCTTGTCTGAACATCAGTTTCTTGATGACTTACTTTATAGCCGCCTAATGAATACATTAAAAATAGAACTCTAGAACTTGGAGACATAGAAGCTGCATATTTAGACACTGGACTCCTTTCCCATCCCCCACTTTGCAAGAAGCTTTGGTGATAATTTGAGATCATTCCAAGATTCATTTACATTATCTTAATGTGCATTTCAACATTATCCATCTAATTTTGATACAGATTCCTCAGCAAAAATTAAGCCACCTCCTAATTGAATTGACTGAGTTATTATTATCATCTTCTTGTGGCATAGACTGTAGGAGGGAGGAAAGGAGGGAATAACCTGTATTAAGAGGGTCTATGGATGAATGTTGGAATATAAACAGACATAGATGTCATATTTTCAAGCAGAGCTGTGGAATATAGAATTTTGTAGAGGAAAAAGTTTAAAAATAGAGCTGTAGTTATATGACTACTATCTCCTCCTCTTGTTTCCTTTTGTGCAGATTGTCTCCCAGAGAAAGCTTTCCAAGTCTTTGCTGAAGCAGGGGAACACAGCAGGGAAATCCTCCATCACGGTGAGCCTTCCCAGACACCCTTTCTGCAGCCTCTGCCTAGCTGTGGTACCCAGTGGACTGACTGGTCCACACCACACCTAGAAGCAGACTCTCTGCCTACTGGGAGTCCATGCTACAACTGCTGAGCTGTCCCAGTCACCTCTGTGTGTTTTCCTTCTTTCCCTTTCCTGACAATGTAATCTCAATCCTTCTACCCTGAAGAAAAATGGGAAAGGCAAAGTATTTGGAAGTGAGGTCACTCATTTCTACTAAGCACTTCTGCAATTGCAATACACTTTAGTAGAGGAGAGTGTGGTGGTGTTGAACATACGAAGAATGTGAAACTGCCTGGGGTCTTCATATTGTCAAAGCTACCTGTCTCTTTAATAACATTTAGTTCAAGGTTTATTTTGTTGCCTAAGAAGCAGACAGTCCATCACTTAACACTCCTCTTACACAGTTTCAAACTATGCTGTCTGATTCAGTAGCCACTAGACACATGTGATTATTTAAGGAAATAAAGTACTTAAAATTAAAGCAAATACTCAGTTCTTTAGTCACACTAGCCATATACTGAGTGCTGCTATATAGGGTGGTGCAGAGTATAGAGCATTTTTAGTATCACAGGTTGTTCTACTGAGAAATGCTGAAAGTATTTCTAAATAGGAGACTAAAGTTTCATTCTGGTACTTTACCATCTTATATGAGAGCTTTTCTGAAAGGTAGAGAAAACAGTATATCTATTTAGGTATGTGTGTGGGAGAGAAGAGAGAGAAAAAGAGAAAAACAGACAGAGACAGAAACAGAGACACAGAGAGGCAGAGAGAAAGCAAAATTCAAATTGCTAGGAAGGCTAATTTCCAGGAAGCAACATTCCTTTCTTTTAACACTCGTTTTTAATTTGAGAGTGACTGATTTATTCTTTTTAAGCAAAGTAATTTTTTTTAAGTTCAAAAGAGCTCCCAGTAGTGAAAGTCATGGCCATTCTCATATGAACTTACCTGAGTTTGTTGCTTGAATATTTTACTTATCCTTCTATTTTTGTGATGCTGTGGGTTAACTTTACAGTACCACTGAGCTACACCCCTAGCCCCTTCTGCTTGAATATTTTAAATGACACTGCAATGTTGAAGCTTTTTTCCGAGTGCCATGTTCAATAATGAATCAACTAGTCTTTAAGACCCTAACAGTGTTCTAAAAAACCATGGATCCAAAGACTTACTCCCGGGCTGGGGATTTGGCTCAGTGGTTTCGCCACCTGCTGCGCAAGTGCAAGGACCTGAGTTCGATCCCCGGTACCAAAAAAAACAAAAAAACAAAACCAAAGACTCACCCCCAAAGCCTACAACCCCTTTATGAAATTTGTCATAGGTTTTTCCCTAGGAGGGACCCCCCCCCAAAAAAAACCTAATGTTGCTGCCTGTTTACTAAGAAGACATCTTAGAAATTTTCTTCTTTTATATACATATGCAAAATTTTAATCTTCTTTTTACTTTTAAATATTTAAATACTCCTCTTAATCTCAGGTCCTTGTGTCAAAACATTGGCTTAAATAGCTTCAGCAAAATACCTGAAAATGTGTGTGAGATTTTTGAGGCCTGTTCGGCTAGAAAAGATCATAACTTTTATTATCTTTCCAGAGGTATCTGTAACTACAAAATAGCTAAGAGCCACCACTCAAATGCAGTGTAAAAGTCACTAAGATACTAAGAAACAAAAGAGAACTGAATAAAAAAATACAAATAGGATTCCTGAATTATTAAAAGGCTCTTGAGTTTTTCCCATATACTTGGACTCAAGTTTTAAATTGTAAGTTGCTCATACTTTTTTTTTTAGTCTGTCACTCTTTAGACAACCTTTTTAGCTTTAACATTAACTGTAAATAACTTAAAGTTTTCCAGAGCCTACCGGTGAGTATTCAGATAATAGAAAAGTTGAGCTCAGATAAAATGGAGATACAATTAAATTAAATTTTAGTATCCCAAAATGATCAATTTGATATGGATGTTCATGTGCTGTGGTCTCTGAATACACAGTAAAATCCTAGCCTTATATATATATGTGATTTCACCTATATACAATTAGAGTGACCTCCAGATTTTTGCTGATTTTGTGGTTATTGGGTTTTTTTCCCTTTTTCAAACTTCTGCTCCAAGGCTTTGAGATTCACTGGCTATTATATGTTGGAAAGTGACTTATGAAAGAGCCTCTTAGACTGTATTATCTTTTAACTTACTATAGATTTTTATCAGGAATTCTCAGGGTTTAGATCCTATGTTCTCTCTCCTGCTCCCTCCCTCTCTCTCCCCATCTCTCCCATCTTCTTCTCCCTCTCCCCCTCCTCTCACTCTCACTCTGTCTCAGAAAGCTCAAGGACAGTCTTTTGCAAAATAAGAATTAGAATATTTCTTTGACAACCATACAACCATTGTTCTGGAATAGACAGAGATCAGTTTATTCCCACATTCCTTGTTGGTCTGACTCAAAGAATAGAGAACTATTACTGTTCTTACCACTTTGTACTTTCCCAAGTAGGAACAAAATATATATATATATATATAGTTATTCGTGGAGGTACCATCCAATACCAAGTGACCTTTAAAGGAAAAAGCTCTTCCTAACTGCTGCTCCCAATATGTTTCTATTGGGAGTTCTATCTCTCATAGTCTTATCTCTCATAGTCTCATATTAGCATAAAAAGAAGTCTAGTTATCTAGTGCTGTCTCTTCTAGGGAATTCCCTTTAATACCTGGAAATAGTGTGCCATGGTCACTAGATTTGTGGAAAATCTCCTTGACCAACATCTGTCCTTGATTTTTGCTGGCTCATAGATTTCTGGTCCATTCCCACTGTAGCTGATGTGTGCTTTGTCCTTTAGGTGATTGCTGAAGAATTATCTGGCAATGACGACTATGTAGAGCTTGCATTCAATGCACGGAAATTGGATGACAAGGTAAAATGTTTGGCATTAACCTTACTGAAGGAAGTAATAAAGCTAGCACACATGGTTTAATCAGATTTATCCCTGCAGCTGTTTTTATCCTTTCAACCCATATTATTAAACCGATCAAAGTTTACAGAGAGGTCTGCAAAGTAAAACTTTTCCCAAATTGAGAAACAGTTAATGAGAAGGGGATGGGACTGTAATTAAAACAGGACATTTTTATTACATTAAGACTTCATTTGTTTCCAAATGCCATAGGTCAGATGCACAAGAAAATTTGATTTAACCCCTTTGTAAGGGACATTATAAGAGAAAAGAGAAGACGTGAAAAGGAAGAAGAGTGACATTTATTAAACATCTGTTTGGCAATTACAGGGATAAGAGCTTTTCATATATATCACATCCAGTCCTTTGCACAAAGCCCCATGTACCAGGAATTATTAACACTTTTTCAGATAAGGAAAGAGATTTAAAGACAAAATACCTTGTCTAATGTCACTGTATGCATTAATCCAGAACCTCTGAGTAACAGACACCAAGACACAACTATATATGCAAGGATTTTACTAGCAAAAATGTCTGTGTGGAGAACTTAAAGAGAAAGTCGGAAAAAGCCAACAGACCTCCCCCGCAAAAAAATGTCTGACCATGAATGAAGAAGCAAGGGAACAAAGTATGGGTGGAAAGCTCCTGGAATGACACACAGACTAAGGAAGTTTCAGGATGTCTTAAAGCCAGAGTCAGCCTCCGGGACATCCCACATCTCCAAGAAAGGATCCTGCTTTAATATCCCATCTGCACTCAGTGACTGGCTGGGAGCAGCCCCCTGAAGCCTGGCCACAGTGCAAATGCAAGGATGAATTTCAGAGCTCAGCAGTCTGTAACTCTCAGTCAGTTACATTCCCTGTGGCTGCAGGTCTTCGAGGCACATGTCCACAGCCACTGCATCCTACTAGTAAGTCTTTTTACCTTTTTATTTTTTGAGACAGGATCTCACTAAGTCTCTAAGTTGCTCATTCTGGGCTCAAACTTGCTATCCTTCTGCTTCAGCTTACCAGAGTGCTAGATTACAGTCATGTACCATCATGCCCAATTGGGAGTGAGCTTTTAACTCTCACCTCCCTCAACTGTTCTGCTTCTTCTCTTTCATTGTCTCCTCGAGTTTCAGAAGAGTTCCCAAAACTGCTCTACAGTGTCTTCCCCAGTTCAATTAAGAACCGTTGCCTCAGTATGTAACAGTTTTAGGATACTCACTTAATAACCTATAATGGTTTTTTTTTCCATTTAGTCATCTCTGAAGTACTTCTAATGTACCAAGCAACTGATTTACATTACAGTGCAATGCAAAGGGACTTGGAGGTTTGCTAGTGGGACCATTAGCTCTGAGGTGTTTGAACAGTGTCCCTTTAGTTAGAAGAATACTTCCTTGTGAGCTGAAAGAGCTTCTGCAGCTCTTCATTCAGTGCTAATGACAATTTCTACCACTGGCTGAACTGATGGTCCAAGGCTGTAGCCACTACCAGCCTCAGAACCCCAGTCATTCACAATAGGACTGTGTAATTTTCAGACTCCTGGTCATCCAGAAAACAAAGCAGAGGCCCTTACTCCATTTTTGACTGGTGGTAAATGGCCTCAGGTAGAAAGAGACCAAAGTCACAGAATCAGGGTATAAGATGATATCATGAAGATCAGCTCACACAAGTTTTTCAGGAAACGAAGGCTCAGCAAGGTCTACTGACTTACCCAAGGACACATTACCACTGCTTTGGTTTTCTAGTGCAGCCTAACAAACCACCTAAAATCCTAGTGACTTACAACAAATATTTTATTGTATCAAGTGATTTGGGGAGTCAAAAATTCTGTCAAGGGCCGGGGATTTAGCTCAGTGGTTCTGCTGCCTGACTTGCAAGCGCGAGGACCTGAGTTCAATCCCTGGTGCCAAAAAAGAAAGAAAAAAAAATCTGTCAGGCTTCAACTGGATCTTTCTTCTCCTTATGATGTTGATGGCAGGTAAGCTTGTCTACAGAGTGTAGGCTAGCTTTACTCACATTCCTGGCACATGGGTGGCCAAAAGTCTAGGTCAGCTGAGACAGTCAACCAGTGTACCTATGTGGTGGTTTAGTGGAACCATATTTCCTAGAGTGTGCCTTGGTTGTCCTAGAAAGAGCATCCCAAGAAAAGCAGGTGGAAGTTTCATGGCCGTTTCTGATATTACCTTGGAAGACATGCATCATCATTTCAACTGCATTTGTTGGTTACAAGTCATAAGGCCAGCCCAGATTTAGGAGAGGAGAGCTAGACTCCAGGCAAAGTCATATTGTACTGAAGCATATGGACAGTAAACATTGTGGTGGTCATCTTTGGAAAACTCAATTTGCCAAAATGTTTTTGTGATAGAACCAGAATAATGCAGTGCAATTATTTTATGTTACAAACAGAAAAAATATTTTCTAGAGGTTCTCAAAGAGGACCCTTTTCTAGCTTTTAGCATTAAGCAATTTTATAGCTACTTACATTGTTAGTAGTGGAACATATGTATTAATTGAGAAAATATCTCATCAGTAAAAGCCACTGTGAGATAAAGTTCTCTGTTTTCTATTGCATTCATGAATATCATGAAAATAACTGATTTCTAAATACATTTAATAACTGCAACATGAAAATGTGGGAAAGTATGCCATGTCTGCTTTAGACAAGAGTGATAGATCTGAACCCTCAGCCCCTTTGCAGTAACTTTGGCAGCACCTGTTATCTAAGTACCTCAAGTTGAAAGCCACTGCTCTAACCCAGCTGTCTTCCTACCTAAAGCCACATATATTTACACTCAATAATACCAGTGACAGAGGGATTCCATCAATTGCCTGTCTAAAATAAGAGTAAAGATGGATGTTAAATTGTGCTTAGGATGTGTAGGAGACATGGTAGTTTTGCCATGTATTTTAGGAAAAAATGAAACCACAGAGAAGGAAGGTATGGGTGTGCTTTTAAAGTGGTGTTCAAAATCCTTAGATCCTTTCAGGAGAGTTCATGAGGTTAAGTCAATTGCCATAATAATACCACGGTATTCGTTTCTTTCTTCATTCTCACATATAAACAGTGGAGTTTTTCAGAGGGTAGATGATACTTAATAGCACAAGACATTGGATACAGAAACAGATATGAGAATCTTATTGCTTTCTATTAAGCCAGTCACTAAATCGATTTCCAAAAATGTAAAATAATATCATTCTCGGTATTTTTAAATCTGGAAAATATAATTATTTTTCATTTAAAATGCTGTTTTTATTATTATGTAATGAGATTTTAATATAACAAGTGAATATTTTAAAATTTTATCATTCTTACAATGTGGTAATATTACTAGATATAACACACATAAACAAAAATTCTGAGAGGGAGGGTCCTCAATAATTTTTAAGAATATATAGAAGTACCAAGACCAACGTTTGAGAACCACTATTGGATGGTGCATAGGGAACACTTAGTACTTTTGCAGCACAATGACTGAGAAATGTCTCCTTCCTTTAGACAGAAGCAGTGATTTGAACTTTTCCAACGCTGTTCAGCAGATTAGAAGCCATCTATCCAGAATGGAAATCTGTAGTCTCTGAAATCTGAGAGGCCTTCACTGAGACCCAATATATAAAATAGATTAGGTTTGTAAGAAATAACTTATTTATCTAAAATTAGCACAATCCACTTAGTGGGAAGAGAGGCTTTCTAACTTCTAAGGCATATCTGTCACATTAGCAACCACTTAACAATCTAACAAATAGAGATGTGAATATAATAATCTCTTTGGAGCATTAAAGCTGACAAGGTATTTTTCCCCCTCCTTTTCCTGAGCAGGTATTCACATTGGTGTACTGAAACTGGTTGTCACACTGGTGGTCTCCACATTTGTAATATTAACCATTACAGCTGCTTTGAAGCTAATTTGATGGAGTGGTGTATAAGTAAGCAAATCTGTCTTCAAAGTAGAACATGGCAAACTTTTTTTGTAAAAGGGAAGATGGTAAAATTTCACACTTTGCTAGCCATATGGCCTCTGTGCTGTGATTTTACTCTCTTCACATATACCTGCCTGGGAACAGTGACCCAGTCTACATTAATGATAGAAAATCATAATTGTTGGGCATGTACAACATGCAGGTGTCAGGTATCTAATCTGCATTATCTCTAATGCTCATAACCATATTCCCAAAGGTGGGTATTTTTTCCATTTTACAAATAGAGCATAATGAAGTTAAAAATGTGCCCAAAGTCATGGGCTAATAAGCTATATATTCTGGATATGACTCTGCATCTTTCATCCAATTTATTCCAAAAGTCTAATATTTTATTTTTGAGATTACTATCATGGAAATGCACTGTTTCACTTTTTTCTCTTTGTTTCTTCTTTTTAAACTGAAGTGAAATATTTGTGTGTATTTATAAAATACAGTGTGATAATTTGATGCATTGATGCAGTGTGTAAGGAAGATCAGGGTAATTAGTATTTTTATCTCCTCAAATATTTGTCATTTCTATGTGTTGGAAACCTTAGGATGCTTCTCTTCTACTTATTTTGGATATCTCATAAATTGTGTAGTTACTCTGCTATGCTGTAGAACACTAGAATTTATTTCTGCCTAGCTGTATTTTGGCATCTGTTATCTGACTTCTCTCTGTGCCTCTACCACTCCCTTCCCAGTTTCTTTTTTACTGTTTGTTCATTTTTTTGTACTGTTTGTTCATTTTTTAAAATTTAATTTTATTGGTACATTTTGGGTATACAATATAATGACATTCATCTTTGGAAATTTGCACCTTTACATAATTTCTCCTGGTTCTTATTTTTCCCCCTCCCCCTGCCCTCCCTTCAACCCCTCCATCCCTCCCTATTTACAAAGACTTTGTTTCCATTTTTTCATTTTCTCATATTAATCCCATTCCCTTCTATCCTTTCCCCTACCCCTCCCACTTCCTCTTCCCCTTTGCCCTTTTTCTTCCTATTTCTACTGTCCACTATTCCACCTTCTCACTTGACCAAATATCCTTTATATCAGGCCATATGGAAGAGTATTATGGTCTCCAGGATATTAAAGAATTTCACTACAGTAGAACTTCAGTAAAATACCCAATTCATTGATCTTCATTTCACCAAATTGTCCCAAAGGCCATTTTAATGCTGATGGCCAAGCAAAGAGAGCTGAGAATTCCAGAATAAAGTGACCATACAATTAGACCTAGAGTTGTTCTTTGGAAGCTATAAATATCTGAATGTACACTTGATGTTTTTGAGCTGCTTGTGAGCTGTTTTGATTCTTGAAATCAGATGTCCCCTTAATAGTAATAATCCTTGATATTTACATAGTGCTTTACAAAGTGTCTTCCTGCATTCTGTCTTCTAATAATCATAGCAGGCAGTATTTCTGACTGTTAAGCATGTGCCAGGTGCCAGATTCATGTGCATCAGTTTCTCTGCTTTCCCTACACCACTATGAGGCAAAGAGTGGTATTCTTCCCACTTACTGGCAAGAAACTGAGACTTGGAGGAATTAAATCTCTTCTCCAAGACCATCCAGATTTATAGGTGGTGGATTTGGGATTTGAAAGGAATTCTAAAACTAATGTGCTACATATTAGATTTTCAGATACTCGAAGGCAGGGACTCTATTTGGTCTTTATTTGCTTAATTTATTCTGTGCCCTCCAGACATCAACTTTATGCTAACCCTATTTTACAAAGAATATGAAGTAAAACAGAGCATTTAAATGTATTACCAAATGAAAAGAATAGGATACTGAATTGAACACAGAGGATGACTACATATACATATTTTTAAAGGAAGAAAGAAAATTATATCAGATTCTAAAGAAGATTCTAGAAGATATGTACAGAATTATGAGTAGGCTTATGGTTTCTTTTCTTCTCCTTTTTGTCATCTTTGTATTTTTTATATTTTCTATTTTTAAATAAAATGATTATAGCAAAAGTTTTAAATTATCAATAAAAAGGAACAGTAATTGATAGAGTTCTTCCACTGTGGTCAGCAGTTTTTGAGTATAATTCACAACCTCATTCCCTGAGGGACTGATAATTTATTTAAGGAGGCAAAGCCTGAGCTAGTAGAGAGGGAGCCCCAGGGCACACAGGAACAAGCTAATGTGGTTCACATCTACCAGGAAAGGGAGCAGAGAGGGAGGTTCCAGTCTTTTTTAAGATGAGTGTAGAAATAGAAAGAAGCCTGAGAAGAAAATGTCTTGCTAAATGTATAGAGAAAGGAATCAGCTAGAAGTGCGTCTGGGAAAGAAATAGGATATCTGTGGGAAGAGACCAGGTCTGTGGGGCAGGCTTGTGATGAAAGCAGATATTGTGGGTTTTTGACAAGGTAAAAGTGTGATAATCCAGTACTTTTAGAACTAGAGCAGAAAGATATATTCAAAACACTGGGTGTTGGCAAAGCATGGGGTTTAGTTCCTGATTGGGTAGGGAGGAAGAGAGTTATTCCACCTCCCATCTTCTCTCTATCTGGTTAATCCTACAAAGTTTCTAGATGGGTAGTCTTAATTAGGGAGCCAATCATATTATTTTCCTGCTCAAAATTCTCCAGTGGCCCCCTGCTTCCTCAATGAACACTATAACAGTATGTCCTAAAATCTAGACACTATGGAAGATGCAAAGGAAGTAGCAAGAATATAAAGGAAAATAAAATATAGTTCCTCTTCTCTGAGAATTTATAATATACTGGGCAAAAATCAAATGTACAAGAAGGATGTAGATCGATTCTTCTTTCAGTAATGAAGCTCCTGTTTGTTTTACATCATTCTCCCACTGAAAACAACTATAAGCACTAGAAAAGAGACATCTGTTTGAGAGTCCTAAGGCAGTCAGATCTGAGGGCCAAGAAACTGGAAGAAGAGAAAGCCATGGAAGTGATTCAGATGTCCTGGACAGATTTCCTGCCCAAAGCTGATTTCTGAAATAGCATGGATATAGAGGCTGGGAACCCCATCAGAAAATAGCTAGAAAGAACAGAGAATCTGAACACCAGTCTGGTTACTTCCTAGGCCTGGGAAAGAAAAAACAGAATTCAAGGTAATTAAGAGAGTTAGGATGCTTCAGAGAAGAGAATCAGTTCAACATCCAAGGGGCTTATCCTCCCATGACATTCACAGATTAGCAAATAGCAGCATGAAGGAAGTTGAAGGAAAGCCTAGAGCCAAGAGATAATGGAGATTAAACCAAGCCCTGGAGAGTTTCACAAATATAAGTGACATTGAGACTGGCCAAGGAGGAGCAGCCTTCGTAAACACTAAGGCTTTCAGTTAGAGCACTCTAAAGACTAAACCCAAGGACTTAAGGAATCAGAAATACATTGGGCTTTTTATTAAAGGCTTCTGAAGAAATCCAGCCTCTGTATAGCTTAATCCTAACTGAATTTAGGGGACTCCCCTCCCACCACCACCAACTGTTTGCTAAAAGCTAAAGATTCATCTAAAACCTTTATAATTTTTCTTACATGGTGTTTATTCAAAAAGTAACAAGAAGCAAAACCAAGAAACAGATAATGAAAACAGATCCTTAGGTGGTCTAGATACTATAGTCATCACATATAGGCTTCATAACATTTTTTTAAATTGATACGTGTTTACAATACATAATATTTACATTCCCTGTGTGGAGTTTTCATATGTACATAATACATCTTCATTCTTTTTTTCATCCCCTTTCCCTCTTTCCCTCCCCTCCTTCCATCTCTTGATCCCTTCCCCTTTGAGAAACATCTATCTCCCTACTTCCTATTATCTTTTATTTTGCTCCTTATTTATAATTTGGGTTTTTCATTACAAGAGAAGTCCTACGATATTTAAGTTTATGTGTCTGACATCTCACTTAGTATTAAATTCTCAAGGTGCATCCACTTTCCTACAGATGACTCAAGTTTGTTTTTCTTTATGGCACAGTAGTACTCCATTGCGTAGAAATACCACATTTTCTTTATCCAGTCATCTGTTGATGGACATACAGGCTTAACATGTTTAAAACATCAGATGTAGTAATTTCAAAGAACTGGAATTTCAACTGATGTTTGAAGAATGCCTTGGGGTTCCACCATTAGAAGCTCCTTATTCTAGCAAAGGGTGGGCCACGGGGATGAAGAACAAAGAAGAATGGTGTGCCTGATCACAGGGCAAGGAGAGGAGAGTGTGGGTGGAACAGGCACACGTGTTCAGGAAGAGATGAGGAGCTGGCCTCTGTCGACAATAGAAAGCCAGGGTTGAGTCATGTTGATTAAATCTCCCCAACTGATCAGGTTGAAATCAAATGCAGGAGGCAAAACTTACTTCTATTTATCTGTTTAGGATTTCTTCAGTAAATCTGACCCATTTCTGGAAATTTTTCGCATGAATGATGATGCAACTCAGCAGCTTGTGCACCGAACTGAGGTAAGAAAAGTCGTATTAGTTACTCCTGTGATTATAAATTGACCTGTTTTGAGAAACACTTTGTATTTTTCAAAATTTCATTCATTCATTCATTGTAGTGCTGGGGATTGAACCCAGGGCCTTTATACTGAGCTATATCCTCAGACATTGTTTGACTCTAAGATTTCCTGTAATGTTGGAAGCCAGTCTGCTCCCCAGGGAAAGTACATCCACTGGACTGATGTCGCGTCTATTAAGCCACCCCATCAGTTGCCATTTGGTCAAGATTTCCTTCTCACCCTTTCTCTTCTTTCTCCAGCTGGCCCCAAACCTTGCATCTTCTCATACTAACCCCTGCTACCTACTTTTTCATATACACATTCAGCAACTAACCCCAATCTTCACTTTTTTATTTTACTTACAAACCAGTCCAAAAGAGATTCTGTAGTGCACTAATAAGAAGGAAATGGAATAGCTGTGGTGAGTCATTTGGAGCTGAGAGAGGAGCCTTTTGTGGGTATATTGCAGTGATGAAGAAAGGAGAAACTCCCATGATTTTCATGGGATGATAGTATAAGTGAAATTTATTTTCAAAAAGCAACAGAGTTGAAGCTTCAGTCAGGGAAACTTTTCCTGACATCTTAAGGAAGACCAGAATTAAATAGTCTTGGATGGGCTAGTTGTGGATATCATCTGGCATACAATTGGAATCTAATAAAACATGTTTAATAAAATGAATGAATGAATGGAATTGAGTACAGATAATGCATCTACTACATTGTGATTCTCTGGAACTTAATCCTTAGGGAATAAACTAAAATCCTACTACCATAGTTACCTTGAATATCATCACCACTGAATACAGTCTCTTTTATATATAAAGATTCTTTTGATACAATAAACTTTTAGGAGAAGTAACTAAATCTTAGGAAAAAGCTTCAGTAGTATTCATTCATACTTTTGGTCCAGTCAGTGAGCAGCAGCTTTAACTGGAAAGAAAGGCTATCAGTAACATATTTTTGGACTTCTTCTCTCACAAGATCTTTTTCTTTGCTCCTGATAGCACTGCTTTTATTATTAGTGTTGGTAAATTTTCCTATTCCCAAACATCTCTATAAATTTGACTCTTACCCCAGTGTCAAGAGGTTCCTAAAGTTTCATGAGAGATGTTGATTGTGATGTTTTCCAGTCAGTCAAGCAACATGACATTGGTTTTTCAGTAGACACAAAATAATTCTCCTGGGAAAGCACAAACAGGAGCACATGTACATTCACAAACACATGGTTTAAATTTCAGAGGAAATTGATAGTTGAAATTTTATTCTGATAATTGAGTTTTTCAAAACTGCTGCTGTAACACATCTTTATTTCTTAGCATTTTCATGAAAAGGTGAGAAATTAAAATTAACCCAAACAGTTTTGTCTGCTCTTCCTTCTCACTATCACTTTGATCGTCCTTGGGGTATCAGAAGACAAGATAGAGTCACAGAGGAACATTATTTCTCTATTTTAACATATTAAATAAATTTAATAATATATCCATGATTTAATCAGTAATTTATGATTATATTAATAAGTTCAATAGAGAAGGAATCACTCATAAAATCATTATGCGTCACAGTTCACATCTGCGACACGACACAAAGGAGAAGAGATTATTGGGAATCAATATCCAGTTCAAACTCCAAGAAGGCCCAGAGGGCAATTATCCAAGACCCCTCAGCATGAGAGCATCATGAAGGCAGCCCAAACTGAAGCTTCTGTTGCTCTTTATTGATAGAACCAAGAAGCAAAGATAATGGACAAAAGAAGGACATCTGTGCAGGAATTCATTGTAGGGGACAGAGGAAGGACAGGGAAAGGTCAGGGTGGTCTGTTACATGATTGATCTTAGGGCCAATCTAACTGATAAATTGGGATATGGAGAGGAGAGGGCCAGAGCATTCATTCCTTAAGTCAATGTGTTTTGATCCTACTTGGACTTGTGGTTAGGACTACTTGGACTATGGTATCTTTTAATCTCAACCATCCATTCTAGGAGGTTTTGGGCATGTGGCTCCAAAAGTCCCTTATCTCTGAATATCCATCTCATGCATACCCTTGGCCAACGGCCCCACAATTATGTTATTTGGATAGAGAATTTTTTTAAACACTAAGAAAAATCAATATGACAGAATTCCATTTAACTTTGTCTATATGTACCTAGAACAGTGGTCCTCAAACTTTATGTATCAGAATCACCTAGGAGACCTGCCTACAAAGAATTGGTCAATAAGACTGGGTGAAGCCTAAGAATTTGTATTGTTAAAAAGTTTCCAGGTAATGTAGCACCTTCTGGTCCAGGAACCATACTTTGGGAACCCCTGCCCCAAGCTTTATAGTACAATGCTAGGTATAGAGAAGCCACTTACACATACTAAACCAAACTGAATTATTTGAACCAGGATGATGGTAAGACAAGACTGCTCAGAGCAGTTCTTGGGCAGGATTTAGCCAAGGTTTTCCTATGTTGTAGACTTAGTTCATAATCTGAAGAACTGCCCGGTTGTGTCTTTCCACAATGTTCTATGAGATGAGGATTAGCTATTGTAAGAATGCTTTGAGGATTTTTTCTTCTAGAAGCTTCTTTTTAGAATCTGATGTGACTCAAGGTCACAGATTACCAAATATCATCCTGTTCTTTAGCAGTAGAACTGTTCTGCCTCATCCTCCATCCTTGCCAAGAGTCTTTGCCTCTGCCGAACCCAAGGGAAGGGAATTTATGGCATTGGACTGACATTCCTACAGAGCTGGACTGGGGATTGATCCATTTTCAATAAGGGCCAGAGGCCTCCTCACCTCTTAAGTTCCAGTCCTTTTAGTATTGAAGGGATCATCCTCAGTATCCACATGCAGGACAGCACTGTTGTCATTATTCATGAAACAGTCAGGCCAGTGACCACAGGAGTTCTGCCCATAATAACCTGCTTAGTGGGTACCCTTAAAAGCTTTACTCATCCAAGTTTCCATTAAGGAACCTGTTCCCAGCAAATGTCCTTTTCATAAGTATCACAATAGCTTCTCAAACAGTTTTCAAGTTAAAATGTGAAAACGTCAGTCATCTCCCCTCCCCCCTTCACCACTCCTCTTTCTTTTCCCAGGTTGTGATGAATAACTTAAGCCCAGCCTGGAAATCATTCAAAGTATCTGTAAATTCTCTGTGCAGTGGAGATCCAGACCGCCGGCTGAAGGTCAGAAATCAATATCAAAAAAAAAAGTGATTTTAAAAATATATTTAACACTTCTCTTTCTTCTCAAGAATGTTAGGAAACCAGAACTATTGGTTGCATTTATTCAGCCTCTCACCTTTTAGCATCTTCCTGAAGAGCCACTGAGGCTCATGTAATAACCTGAAATAAATCCTAACTGTGTAATGTCATGAAACACTCTATGACTTCTCAGAAACAAAACTGTGGTGATAACTTCAGGGTATAATTGTGAGTTATTAGAAATGAAATACTTCTGTATCAATTATCTGTTGTTGCATAACATACTACCCCAACATTTAGTAGCTTAAAGCAAACCATTTTGTTTAGTTTGTGATTCTGTATATCTAAGTAGCCTTAGGTTAGTCTTATGTTCACTCCTGCAGGTACAGATGGTCAGCTGCCTCATGAGCAGAGTGGGTCTTCTTCTAGGGTTGGCTGCTGTCACCTGGAATGATTTAGGTGGTTGGGCCATATGGCTCTCAAATATTCCAGATTCAAGGGTGAGGACATAGATTCCACCTCTTAATGGCAGGAGCTACAAAGCACTGTGACCATTTTTTCAGTATCCCACAAATGCTTTAGAACACTGTGAGTATATAGAAGTTGGAAGAAAATGAGCATGTGGAGGGTTGGAAATCACCAAAGAAAGACAACTGGTGGCATGTTAGAAGCAGACTCCAGGAGATGCTCCCTTTGGTCCATGGGCTGACCCCCTCTCTGCCTTGTAAACCTGGAGATTCCATATTACTAATAACCTAGAACTGATCTCATGAATTTAGTATGATTAAGTAACTCACTGGAGACCAGTGCCTCTACATTGAAAGGCCAATTGATGGATATCCAGTGAGAAATGTGCCTATCAGGCAGACTCAGCAGCCACATCAGCTTCACTAGGACATTTGGTTGTGGGTGAATAATAGGGGAGAGAAATGTTAGAAGATGACTGTTACAGCCTCAGAGCAGCATCAGAGATACTGGGTCATCAAGAAGTCAATGGCTTCAGATGCTGAAAGTTGGGGCATCCACCTCCACTATGGGAATAAAGGTTCATCTGGTGTTAGATGGCCACTTAAGATGTTTGCCTTTGTAACTTTGCATTTCCCTTACTCCTTTCACCCCAAAGGCCTGGTTCTGATGATAAAATTCTTTTGATTTTTCAATGTTGTTAGATTAGAATTCCTTCTGGTTGGTTTGACCTACCCTCTTTAAGGTGACTTTGTATATCTTTGCTTGCACCCATTCTGGATGAACTTTGTGATTGAACTCTCAGTGGTTGAGGTCACACAGGTCACCTCTTCCAAAGTTTAATGAGCTTTGTGTACGGTGTTTACCTTCTGTGAGTACTGAGCCTAGGCCTCAAAAAACCCTTGCAGTTTCTACATTTCCTTCTTGGAACCCAAGGTCACTGTGTGTATTCATTCTGGGCGGACTTGTGGTGGAATTCTCCTGCTTTACTTCCATGTTCTTCAGCAGCATGTCAGAGTCCCTAAGAGCCAAGGTATTTCAAATCTAAACCCCAACTTAAAACTTTTTTTGTGCCAAAATCAAGATTTCTGGTTGTTTAGACCTTTAGGTGGAAGTGCCTATGCAAGACAGCCAAGAGCAACTGCTTCAGGATTGGCATGGCCATTGTCACCTAGACTCTGAGTAGCACTATCCCATTCCCAGGGAGAAAAATGGCCCTGCTTGACCAGAAATAAAGTAATACTTCCTTTAGCCATAGATCAGTTTTGTCATAGGGTGTTATTACACGGATAAAAGAAGGTTTTCTGTAATCAAATGAATAAGAATGCAGAAAAGGAGTACTTTTTTTGCTCTTTGAGTGCTCTGCAGTCTCTGTAGGAACAAGTGACAGTAAAAGGGATAGATCAATAGATGGATCCTGTGTTGAAAAATAAAATAAGTGAAGGTTCTGGGTTCAATCATCAGTACCAAAACAAAGCACTGTTAAATTCTCTTAAAGCCCTCTTCTCCAGAATGAAGTGGTACTGTACTGGCAGGCAGCAGCTCTGTCCATATGGGTGTTATTCTTCCCCAATGTCCTCACCCCCCAAAAATTAGAAAGTGAAGTTTTTGAACTCCCCATCATCCCAATAAGGTTTTATGTCTTTCTTTCTGATGTATCCAAGATCCCCATAAAAATCAAGTTCATAAATAACTCACTTTTTTGTTGTTGTACTGGGGATCAAACTCTGGTCCTTGCGCTTGTGAGGCAGGTGGTAGAACCACTGAACTAAATCCCCAGCCCTAAATAACTCATTTTTGGGATTTTATTTATTTATTTCCTGGGGGAAAATCAAAGCAATATTTAAGTAACTCTTTTCAAAATTGATGTTTAACTTATTTATTACGGAAATGTTCAAACATGGGTAAAAGTGAAAGGATGACATTATGCCCTCCATACCCATCACACAGCTTCAGCAGTTCTGAATAACACCCAACTTCACATCACACACTCTCCAGGCACCCATTTCCCCTGTTGTTCTTCCCACCACTGGATCATTCTGCACAAGTCCAGGCCAAGTGGACACATCCAGTAATCACAGTAAGCACAATGCTAGGGCCCACAATACTTTTAGGAACATACAAACGTGGTTTACTTTATCTTGAAATCAGAAAGGAAAAATTAACTTTTAAGATTGAATGAAATGGTTTGCACATTTTTCTTACATCAGAAAACAATGACATTTTTAGGGCCCATGAAAATCTATTATGGTGGAAGAAACCCAAGACGAAAAACGTATGTGGGGCCAACAAAAGTAGTAATGTGGCCATGTCTCACACATAGTATCATCTCATCTGGAAAGATTTCAGTATGTGTTGCTAAGGGATAAAGAATCTTTATATAAACATAACCACAAAGCTGTTATCATACCTAAGCATAATAACTGTATATCCTCAGTGCCATCAAATATTCTGCCATTATTCATATTGGCTTGATTCTCTCCTTTATCAGCAATTGTTTTCTTTTTGTTTTTGTTTTACTTTTACTTTTCACTTTTTTTTTTATTCTACCAGTACATGTTTGCAGTATATCATGAATACCTTCATTGTGGGTAGTTGGTACATGTACATGACACATATCATTTCTTTTTACATCCTTTCCCTCCCTCTCCCTTCATCTTTTTGTCCCCTTTCCATTTTCCAAAGATCTGTCTCCATGTTTCTTATTCCATATCTTTTATTTTGCTCTCTGACTTATTTATACTTTGAGATTTTCATATAAAAGAAACCATGTGATTTTTAAGCTTGTATGTCTGATTTCTTTCTTTTAACATTATGGATTAAGATATAAGCAGAGTCCAGGATTACATTTGAACAAGTTGTCTCAAGTTTCTTTCATTGGTTGGTTGTCTCTCCCTCTTTTTTTCCTGGCATTTTCCATAATAATATAATAATTTTAAGAATAAACTGTTTCATCATGTAGCATCATTCTCTTTCCCGTATATGAGTAGTTGGGACTTCATCAGATTCAAGGTCTGGTTTCAGGCAAGAATGTCCTTAGAATTATTAACAATTCAAAGAATATTTATATGAGTGTTTCAAAATATTTTATTTAATATCATTCTTTTGAAATATTTGACTGTTATGGCTTATATAAAGATGTCCCCCACAAAACTTCATATAGTCATAGGTGGGGCTTTTCAGAGGTAGATGGATCTAGGGTGTTTGATGCTGGGATCACAGATGTGATGCTGGAATTGATTCAAAGTGTGATGCTAGGATTAAGGCTGCCCCACTCTAGGAATGATAAAAATATAAGGAACAGAAAGAGGGTCATTGTTGGTTGCTAGCTGCTTGTTGCCTTTCTGTCTTCTGCCTACCATGTTTCTCCTCTTTGATGTCCCTCTGCCATGCCACCCTGCCTTGGAACCAGCCAACTATGAACTGAAACCTCTACAAACTGGAAGCCAAGTAAACTGTTCCTCCTTTAACTTTGGGTGTTGGGTATTTTGTCTCAGCAACAAGTAAAGTAACTAAGACATTGACCAATGAAAACTTCAAATTGTCTCTTACATTCTTTTAACATAAACCTAGTATAGTAGTATTTAATAGTTTCCTTGCTTTCTGGAATGATTTTTTTGCTATTCGTCAATTTTGAAATTCATTTCCTCCAAGATATGTATCTTTATATGGAGAGTGAGTTATGCTTTAAAGTCTCTTGAAATCATTCCTCCCTGTAGTTAAAACTCTAACTATACAATTGTCAGATTTGTTTCATTTTGTTTTCAGATTTTAGAAATTTTTCTTCCAATTCAATTTTTTATAATTATATAAAATGTTTACATGGTTCCAAAGATAAAATTACAAAACAAAGCATGTTTAGAAAAGTTAGCTTTCCTTCCTGTTTCTTCTACCTTTTGCCATTTTTTATAAGTAGTCATCTTTAATATGGTTTATACTTGGTAAAGCCAGCTCCTTCCACTTCTGTATTCCTTGTCTGTCCTGGATGTTTTTCCTGTTTGTTACTTCCATTTCACTTTATAAACAACATATTAAATAAACTATTTGTATTTTGTATTGATGCAATTTGTGTTGAGATTGCTTTAAATTCATGAATTGAATCGAATATTCTCTTTTTAATACTATCTTACTACCCTGGAACATGGCACATCTTTCCATTCATTCAAGTCTCCTTTTGTGTTTTCAAGAGTACCTAATGATTTTCTCTTGCAGATTTGGAACATCTAAAGTTTATGCCCAGTTATATTGTTTGCTAATTTATTTATTTTGCTATTATAAATGTAGTCCTCCATTACACCTTCTGTATTTCTGAAGGCCATAAAATTTTGTTTTCTTAAAATCCTATCTCATTAAGTTCTTACATGGCTTGTTTATAGTAATTTTTCTATTAATTTTGAGGGCTTTTCAAATATATCATCTGAAAATAAGGATAAATTTTCCCCTTCTTACTTATCTCTTATGGCTCTATTTACTTCTCTTCTTTTACTGAATGGATGAATACATCCAACACAGTGTTA